GCAAGGGGCAACCAGTGGAATCAAAAGAGTGCAAGTGCACCCCCCTTCCCCCATCCGCCCCCAAGAAAGACCAAAGGATTTTGACGCTAAGATTCCTCTTTGAAATACCCCCCTGGTTAATCTTGTGAATCATGTTTGCACACCTAACAACTCTATCGCACCCTTGAAAGGATCGCAAGGCACCCGAGGGTGCTGCAACACCCTTGTTGAGAATCACTGCCTTAGAGTAAAGGAAAGGCACTACTATATATGTAAAACATCCTGGGTTACTGAGTTGTCACCTGGTTAATATGGACTCTGTTAAGTGATCTTTGAGCCCCGTTACCTGTCTAAAAATCAGCTCCATAATACATAGAGGCCAGAGGCTGCACACTCCTATTCTCCATTGTTGTTGGTTCCCTGGGACTAATCATGTGGCACATAGATTGAGGACTGCTGCTATGGACAAGTGTTGGATTATGGACTATTGAACTGTTCCCATGAGTAGGGCTTACATTTTTATTACTAATAACAGATACAGAAGAATAAAGTTCAGGTGATCATGTATGATGTTAGGGTAGTACCAGGATCCTGTGCTAGAGAATTAAAAAAAACCCAGCTCTCCCATAATCCATCCATAGTGTGTAGTTTAACTTCATGGATCTGTCACCGAATACACTTGTTTGTCTCTCATACGTTCAGGCTGCCTATTGCCTAGCATCAGATGCAAAATAAATGGCAAACGATGTACATGTCCATGTTAAGTCCTCCACATCTTGTTCTCATGCACTATGTTTCTCCATTATGTATAACTAATTCCTGTTTCATCTTGGAAATGGTATCATCTTAACATTATTCTGAACTAAAACAGTAACTGGAGGACTTCTGTAGCTGTTTGAAAGACCTGATACCCCTATTGCCACACTAGTTAATTTTTGCTGCTATTTACCAGTAATAGTGCTTATTGTATCACCTCTGTCCAAAAAAAAATCAAAACCAAGAAAACAAAACAAAACAGGCTGTACATTAATAGTCCATGCTTGTTAAACTTAAAAACAAGGTCTCAGTGATATTTTCACTCATTCATACTGCTACTTCAAATTACAAGTTACTTCAAACTTTGAATAGCTTGCAATAAAATGACATTCTTGGCAATATCAGATTTGGCTAGGAAGTCACCCAAAACAATGACATTGTTTGTAGTGTTGGAGGATTGGTCAGCTCTTGCAGAAAAGTATTCACGTTGTTCCTTTATCTCCATGTTGTACAGAACTGGTTGTTTTTTCTTGTTGGATGATTTGCCTGGAATATTTATATAATCTCCTACAGATTGTTAAATCCAGTGATTTGGCGATAGATCAGTCATCATATAGAACTACACTTGTAACTATGAATTTCCATTGGGCCAGTTCTGTATGTGGAGAGAGCATGATGACTCTAGACATACTGCTGAGCCACAAGTTCTTTGCTTGATTCCTCTTTGCTTTTGGAGGGAAGGGAAAAGGAGGAAAGGGACATTATGATTTCCTATTGGCTTACAGTAAACTTCTTTTTACTCATGCTAGATGCTGTAGCTAGTGTGTGTGTGTGCGTGCATGCACACATGTATGTTGGGAGAAGAGGGAACAAAGCACAGCCTTTTCTACCAGGTAACTCTGTGGAGGGACTTGTGGATGCATAGCCCCAGAACTAAGTTCTAGGTAGCCTAGATGGCATCTTAAGTATGCCTTACTCTCATGTAAAGGTATGTATTGGAAGTCCCAGTTATTGTGGCACTTTGTCACCCTCACTGAAAAGTAGTCTTTAACCAAGTCTGTGGAATCCATTAATCCCATCCTAGATTGCTTAATAATGTGTCAATTAATGGCTTCCATGGGCTTAATTAATTGATGCATTAGCAAGCCCTGGTCTGGGGCCATTTGTCAATCAGTCTCCAGGCTTCTGGGGCCCCTTGGTCAATCACAGGCTGGGGTGGGGAGGGGGACTGCTGCGCTTTGCTGCAAAAATTGTGCCGGGTGCTGTGCTGGACCGCAAAATCAGATGGCAGCCACCCTGATTTCAGTAGGTCCCTACCTATGAATTGATTTGCAGAAGCAGTTCTACCCAGAAGAAAATTTACATACAAATGATAAGGGGGTGGGGCAGGGCTGAGAGAAGCTAACATGGATTACATAGGTAATTAACCCACTGAGAGACATAGAGGTTATAAAAACTAGTCCAGGTAATGGCATAAGAATCCATAATCTCTGTTTAGACCATGTTTAATACAATCCAGTCTGTGGATGATTTCTTATTCTGCAGTTTCATGTTCAAGTCTGTTTTTATATTTTGTTGTTTAAAAACAGTTTTCTGAGGTCAACAGTGTACTGTCCAGAGATGTTAAAGTGTTTTGTCCTGGGCTTGTGTGTCTTTCTGAAATGTATGTCAAATCAATGTCTATTTATTCTTTCTGTAAGGATTGCCCTGTCTATCCAGCGTAGACAGCAGAGGAGCTCTGTATGTAGGTGATGGTGTATGGGATTGTAAGTGGGTTGGGGTGCCTGCTACTGTGCACGTGGGGCATTGCACCCTTAGGAGTCCTTCAGACCATCCAAATAATAGTAGTCCATAAATGGGCCTGTGTGCCTGCAGCTTCTCTGTGTGGCTTTGCTCTGTGGGGAGCCCCTCAGCCAGTCCTTGTAACACAAAACAAAAATCCTTGGTCCAAACAAACAAATAAAGCAAACCTTTCAGGAGAAGGCCTATAGCTCTGGCCCTTTCCTAGGAGAAGGCCTAGGCTCTGGCCTAGGGGCAAGCTTCTCTGGATTTCAGTCTGCTTCCTGCCCATAAAACTGCTCTTTTCCCCAACCTAAGCTCCTTGTTTTTTTCCTGCTTGGGCTTTTAACTGCCAGCTAATCATTCACCACTAGGCTGTTATCCCAGGGCTGGCTGTCCCACTTAACACGCCAGACTGCCATGACATACTACAATGACACTGGTAGAGGAGCAAGTGAATGAGCCTCAGATGTTATAATCCATGTTGTTTGGTCCAATGATGATGTGGTTTGTGTAGGTAGAAGGCATAGCTGGCATATGGATCTGGAGCATAGATGATGTGGAGGTAGCTGTAGCAGTCAGTTGTTTGCCAGTACAATGTTGTGGTGATGTGACCATTATCAAATTTCACAGTGGTGTCAACAAAATGAATATGCCTGCTGAAAGCCAGGGGATTTATTTGGGCTGGGGTGTTAGGTGGGAGGATTAGATAGTGGGGGGAGGCAGAGGCAGGGGAAGGCAGTGGGGGGATAGGCAGGACAGCAGAGGTGGTAGGGGGCAGAGGTGGGTGTTGGGGGTGGGAGGAGCAGCTGCAGCTCCAATTCTGACCCAAGTTGGAGTTGCAGCAGCTGCTGTCCCCCTCTCTTGTACTCAGATCTAAGGCAAGGGGCTTTCCCCACCATGTTGAACTGAATAAGACCTCATCTTGGATTTGTGTACACCTGGACTGTAGTACACTAATCCAGTAAGGCTTTTGACAGAGTCCCGCATGACCTTTTCATAAACAAATTGGAGAAATGTAGGATAGACAAAACTATATCAAGGTGGTAGCTGCAAGCAAAGTACAATTATAAATGGATCCATGTCAGAATGGCAGCAGGTTTCCGGTGGAGTCTGAAAGGGCTGGGTGCTGTTCAATGTGTTTATTAACAATTTGGGTGTTGGACTAGAGAACTTCTTGAGGAAATTTGAATATGACACAAAACTGAGAAGAATTGTGAACACATTGTAGGTCAGGTGAACAATTCAGAAAGATTGTGATAGATTGGAAAGCTGGGCAACAACCGAGAGAATGAAGTTCAGTGCTGACAAATGAAGGGAATGGAGTTCAGTGCTGGTAATGATGCTACACCTCAGGAATAATAATATAATAATAATAAAAAACCCCAAATACAAAATAGGTGGCAACTGGCTAGATAGTAGCACTAGAGAGAAGGATCTAGGCAACTTGGTGGATTACAGCCTCAATATAAATCTGAAGTGAGGCAGGTACAAAAAGGCATTTTTTCCTTTCTGTTATTACATATGTCAGGGTTTTTTCACCTTTCTCAGAAGCATTGGGTGTTGGCTGCAACCAAGGGTAAGGATTTTGACTGGGGTATGCCAATGGTCGTACTGGGACTAAAACTCAGAGGTTTCCTGGTTAGATGTTCTTGCTCCTCTGCTCAGGGTCAAACCCATATGGGATCAGGAAGCAATTTTACTCCACAGTCAGACTGGTACAGATAGTTGGGGTTTCTGCCTTCCTCTTCCATGGATCTGTTGAATTCACTTTAACAGCCATTGCAGCAAGGACACTGACAGTCCTTTTTCTCCTGTTCTACCTTTGGCATGTTAGGATGTTTTTGATGTCTTTGAGCAATATGCCTTGTAGCTGTACAACAGGGTTGATTATGTAGCTTTAGGGAAAGGTTAGACAAGGATTTGTATGGGATAGTTTGGATAGGAATAATCCTACTTTAAGCATGACCAGATGATCCCCAGAAGTCCTTTCCAGCCCTACTTTTCTATGATTCTATGTAGCACAGCCACCTTTGTTAAGTCCATTTCTTAGGCAGCGATTCGTTGTTTTCCCAACATATTGAACTCTTCTGGTTACTATATTTTCCAAGCATCTAGGATGAGAATCCTTTCCTTTATTAAAGGAATAGAGATGGAGATGCATCAGGACTATAAAACTTCCTATGGGACTCCAATAGGTTTGTATTTCATGGGGACATATGTTTGCTCTTATTATGCGTGGCCTAATTCGTATATCTCAGATTGTTGCCTGTATGTATCTAGAGTAGTCAAGTCAAGAGAAGGTCAAAGGTCCTCTCACATCTAGCAGCCCATAGTAGATCCCACATCTAGTAGCCAACTAGACTACTATAGTTAAGACATATTAGTTTCTGTAGCCAATGGCACAAAAGGGAGTGCTGTGGCTAGGATCATCTTTTTTTGTCTCTTACTCTCCAGCCTGAATGATGAAGTTCTCACTTACAGCTGGGTTGACTAAGAGCAGCCTTTTGGCATGAGTCTAGGACTTTCACATACGCAGTTGTAACAAGACAGATTCACTACTCTGCTGCCATACTTTGATCTGTAAGAATGACCACATACATAACTTTACCACACTGATAATGTTATATGTTTTTCCTATTAAAATATATCTAAACAAAAAATTCAGGCCATTTTATTGAATGTAAATACAAATCCAGCCAGATATACTAGGTTTATAATGTTCTTAATTTTTTCTTTTTTTGTTTTTTAAGCCTTAGGCCTGTAATGGGGTGATATGTAAACACACTGTACTTTTCTCTTCCTAGTTTTTGATTTTTGATTGGATTTTGTTATCTCTTAACAGCAAAAAATGAACAGGTTAATTTCACTGTGACTCTAGCCAGTGTGTACTTTTCTTGAAACCTCTTAAGTCAGTTTATCCTTAGTTCTATAATAAAGGATCTTCCTGTTTAGTCTTTTGAACTTCAGATTGATTGTTTTAGTGCTTGATATACAAATAGCAGCTATCTTTCCTGAACATAAAAAGGATGTCAGTTGGATCTGTTCTCGTTAAAACATTTAAAATTAAACTTTGTTTTGAAAAGAAAGACCTCTTCATATCCTAATTCATATCCTACAGAGCATCTGCCAATCTGTCTGAGTCTTTTAATGTTTTCCTTTTTTTAAAGAATACTTTTATCCTGCATCTAAAATAACAATGATTACCTCTTTAATACCAGTTTATATTTTCAAATGGCTTCACAGGCAATGGAAGATACTCATTCCTCTTGTAAGTTCACTTATCAACCTGGAGTTGCACTACATACTGTATGTGCTTGTGGTGAGGTCCTGTCCCACTGACTGTTAATGGTAAAACTCCTATTGATGACAGTGGGAGCAGGATGTAACTTGGAGTGTCTTAATGATCTCTTCAGTCTCATTGCATACATCTATGATGTATCTGCTAAATTGATTCATAGATGCTAGGGTTGGAAGGGACCTCAACAGATCATTGAGTCTGACCCCCTGCCTAGGCAGGAAAGAGTGCTGGGGTCAGATGACCCCAGCCAGATGCCCAGACCCCCAAGGAAGGGGAGAGCACCACCTCCCTTGGAAGCCCATTCCAAATTTTGGCCACCCTTACTGATGTTATCTCTGTTTTGCCTAAGGCAGATTAACACGATGCAGACTGGAGATGGATGTTACTGATGGTATAATTTACAGGCCTGGTTTAAGTTGCTCCAA